TGTGTGTGTGTGTGTGTTCGTGTGCGTGTTCGTGCTGCCCTCCTTGTCACACCCGACTGTTAGTCGTCAACATTATGCTGCCGTTTGGTCCACCTCCCGGCTTCAAGCAATCATTCATGCGCCCTACGCAACCCCGATCCGCCCCAACGGCCCCAACCCTAGCCCTACCCAAACCACAACCCATCCGCCTCTCACCACTCCGCCTGCCGGCTCTTGTGGCACAGATCGCCCGTCCGCCCTGATGACACCCGCACCTCCACCCGCGCTCCCGCGGCGCGCGCCAGTGCGTGGTGGTAGTGCTCGAAGCAGCCCTTCAGTGCCCTGCCGGTCGGCACGCGGGGCAGCGGCTCGCCCTCCTCAAAGCCATACTCTGCGTACTCGTCGCGCGCGGCCCTCGAGACGATCTCGTCCATGAGCGCGGCGCTGGCGGGGTCCCCGGTCGCGCGGAAGTCGGCGTCGGCGGCCAGCAGCACCTCCTGGACTTCCGCCCAGGCGGCGGGCTCCCTGTGCGCCATGGCGGGGCTGCAGACCGCCCGGTGCCTCAGCCAGCGCGACCGCAGCGCCGCAAACTCGGGGCGCGGCGGCGGCGGCGGCGGCGGTGGCGACGAGGGGGATGTGCCGGGGGCGGCGTCGGCGGCGCGGCGCGGCGGCGCGGCGGGGATCTGAGGCGCCGCGGCGGGCGGCGTGCGTGGCACGGCGGTGGCGACAGGTGGGCTCGTCGTCGGCGCGTCGATTCGGGCGGCCGCGGCAGCGGCGATCGGCGGGCTGGTGGCGGCGCCGGCGTCGCGCAGCGGCGCCATGAGCAGCGGCGCGGCCGCGCCGCCGGCGCCCAGCATGGCGCTGAGGCGGCCTCGCACGGCCGAGATGTGATCGTTCAGTTGGCGGGCCTCCGCGCTGCGCGTGGCCAGGATGAGGAAGGAAACGTCCTGCGGTTGGGGGCAGGCGGTGGGGTGTGGCAGGGCGTCAAGGGGGGGGGGTTGGGGGCTCAGCGGTCGAGTGGTCGGGGCAGGGGATGAATGCAAGAGGGTCGTTGTTGTGAAGGGAGCGGCACAAGTCTGCTGCGCTGCTGCGGCACCCAGGGGGAGGGGGGTGGGGACTCTCATGAAGCCGCTGCGGTGCCTGTGGCACAGCGCGCACCTGCTGCAGCGCGTCCAGCTGCTGGCGCACGTCTGCGGCGCCCGCCGCGTCGGTGCAGCGCGCAGCCATGCGCTGAGCCACCTCGAATCTTTTCTCGAGCCCTTCAAACTCCGCGGACAAGGGGCTGGCGAACGTGAGGCCCTTGCCAGAGTCAAAACCGACCCGTGACTGCGCTGTTCGCCCTTGACTGCTGATGTATCTGAACGATAAAGGCGTCGTAATGTATGGTACGCATGCAGGACCCCGGGGAGCGTGTCTGAGCTGCTGATAGGCGCGCAGCAGCGCCATAGTGATGATGTTGACGACAAAGAGGCCAAAGTAGGACGCAAAGAAGGAAAGGTTTGCTGATGATTTTGTAATCGCGGATCTGAAGTGCTCTCAAACATGATCGAATCGTGCTTTGACCGTTTGAATGATCTGCCCGGCCAGCTGCCTCTGCGTTTTCACGAGGCTATTGCACGTTGGGTGGAACAAAAGTAGCGACGAGCTCTGCTGCCATCGCAGTACAGCGTCGGAATTACTGCGTATAGGCCGCTGATGCCGGCGATGTGTATACAAGGGTGCTGCTCGATCTCATCGGGATCCCCCTGGCCCACACGGGTGGTGGAGGGGATGAGGCTTCAAAGGTAGCGCATAGCGTGTCGCAGACAGACAAGCGGCGTCACGCCTCCACCTGACCCGCCCCACCGCTTCGTGGCGCCTGCCAATTGGACGGCGACATGAGCGGGGCTTGCACCGGCTCCATGTCCGCCCCCTGCGACTGTGGGTTTGCTCCCAACACGTCTTGGCGTATTGGCGCATTTCATCAATTGGGGCCAAAACATCGTGCAACCCCCTCACTACCATACCTGTAAGATGACCCCGAGAGGTGCAGAGTTCGAGCCCGGGGGGCAAACCACCGGTCCTCAAGACAGCCGCTGCACTGCCCATCCCGCTACAAGGCGGACAACCCATGCGGGCAAGCCCGCGGTCAGCCTGACGGATCAGTTCCAGTTCATTACCAGGGTTTATGGCCAGTACACTCAATCATGCATGCAGTCCCCACCCCCCGAAAAGGCAATGGCCTCCCGCAGTCCAAAACACCAAGCGCCCCGCGCCCGCGAGCTGCGGGGTCGGTCGAACGCAAACGCGGTGCCAAGGCGTCGAAAAAAATCCGCCAAGCAACCGCTCGCATGAATGGCGCCGGGGAGACATCGATACCGTGATGCCCGACGAGCCCCCAGGATGCAGGGCGGTCACAGGGGAGTGCTATTGCTGTCGGGCGGGGATGCCGGGTCGGGTTTCGCGGGCGCAGGCCGGGCTCTTTTGACGCCACGCGACGGGCGGCCGATGGCCCGTTTTGATGCCGCAGTGCTAGTCTGGCGGGTCAGCAGGGGAGTGCCGGCCGCACTCCCTCCGCGTGGCCCAAAAGAATCCGCCTGGTGCAGGCACAGAAAGGGGGTGCATGTCCAGTGCTCGCAGTCTCTGGCATTGCCTAGGAAAGAAGCCGGCGCGGGTGGGTGGGAGCTACCTCCCACAAGTGCCGCCGGGAGCGCCGCGGCTTTTGGCGAAACGAGCCGCGGAAGTGGACGGCGACATGCCCCAAAGAAGTGACAATCAGGTCTTCAGAGGTTGCGCATGAGCTGCGCGTGCGCGAACGCCGCCACCGACCGGCGAAGGCATCTCGAGCCGCGGCCGCGCGCTGGGGGCGGCGCGGCCGTTGGGTGGGGCCGAAAGTCGCGGGCGCATCGCTTGCGCGAGTCGTGCGCGAGAGGCGCTGCGCGCGCACACATAGAGATATGCGCGCCCAACCCGAGGGGCCGCTCGGCAATGTGCCTGCGTCAGATTAGATACGAAAACTCTAGGGCACCTCTCCTGCGCCCCTTTGCCCTACCACACTCTTCACATCCCCCAGAACACAGCCCCCTCCCTACCAGCCCTGCCTAGACAGCAGTGGGCTTCTTATCAGCGCCGCTCTCAGCCAGCACGTCCGGACCATCGCTGTCCACCACCGCCGCCGCGTCCGTCTCGCCGCCCGACGACCCCGGCGCGCCGGTGGCGACGGCCGCGCCGGGCTGCTGGGCCACCGGCAGCTGCAGCTGCTTCGCGCGATGAAGCTCGCGCCAGGTCAGCAGCGCGGACACGAGGGCGGCGGTGAAGATGATGGCGACCAAGACGGTCACCCAGCCGCCGAGGCCGATGCCCGCGATGGCGGGCGGGGTGATCTGGATGAACTGCGGGGCGCGGGAATTCGGGGGGTCGGGGAGGGTCAAAGAGGGCGGGGTCCGTGGAGAGGGCGGGCGCGGGGCTGGGGGGTGTTCAGGGGGCGCCGGCGCCCGTGGACAGGCGCCGCGGAGGGGAGGCCGAGGAGGCGAGGGATGTCTGCTTGGGCTTGGAAGGCCTTGGCAGAAGCACGGTCGTTCGGGTCGAAACAACCAATCAGGCAGTCGGGCGCTGGGTTGGGCGGCGCGCGCGGTGTTGCGGGCTGACTCACAGTCGCCCTCGCCATTTCGACCCAAAAAACCCCAGAACAAAATGACAAGAATGCAAAGAAGGGAACTCACGATGCCGCCGCAGATGAACATGATGGCCTGGACGGCGCCGCCGGCCGCAGCCGCGTTCTGCTGCTTCAGGATCGACACGTACGACATCACGCCCGGGAAGAACTGCGCGGTGGGAATGGGTGATGTGCGCGTGTGTGCAGGTGTGTGTGTGTGTGCGCGCGTGTGTGTGTGTATGTGCGTGTGCATGACGCACGCGTGGGGGTGATGCAGACGGCGATTTTCGCGCTGATCATGTTGCGAGCGCCTCAACAGAGAGGCCGCCCCTATTCAGGCGCCCCCGACCCAACCTGCGGCGCCCCCCGCGCACCGCGCAGATGCTGGCGCCCATGAAGAAGCTGCAGATGAGGGGCCCCGCCAGGTTGGTGCCGTAGGCCAGCGTCCACGCGTAGGCCAGGGTCGACGCCGGGAAGATGGTGAACGACGCGATCAGGCCGGGCACCATGCGGCCCGCGGGGGAGGAGTTCCAGCGGCGCGCGCCGGCGTCGGCCCAGCGGCCGCCGAAGGGGCCGACGATGAAGCAGCCGAGGCCGAGCGGCAGGTTGGCAACTGCAAAGGGGGGTTGAGGACGGGGGGAGGAGCAGGGTTGATGAGACCGAAAATTGCGTAGATGAGAGGACCCCAAAGCCAGAGGGGGGGAAAAAGCCCTTGCGCGCAGTGTGTGTTGCGGCGCGTACGGCACAGGGCGAGGCCCCCCCTCACGGCACAGGGAAGAGAGAGCGAGGAAGGCGGACGGAGGGGGCGCGAGGAACGATGCGAGCAGCACGGTGATTGGATTGGATTCCAAAGGCACTGCCGGTCTGTTGAGAGCCCCAAGGGATGCAGGCTGCGGCTCACCGCCGATGAGTGCCTCGTTGAGGTGGTAGGGCTCCACCGCCAGCACATTGGGCAGGATGATGAGGCCGCTGAACATGGTGGCGTAGAGCAGGAACATCACAATCGCATGGGGCAGGATGGCGGGCTCGATGAGGTACCTGGGGG